GGGATGTTCAATATTGGTCAAAAGATCTTTTGAATTCGTCAGATTCCAAATGTAACTCTGATGAATCGGTAAAAAGAATGGTTTAACAAGTTTGCATATGGCATTGAATAGCGATAAAACATTATTTATAAGCATTCTTGTAAACTTTCGGAATTCAATACAAACGAGGCAGGTTCGTATCCTTATTATTAATGGGTATTCGAAAAGACTGTAATACAGATGCGTGGTAAGCTAATACTTCGTCTTCCGAAAATATAGTAAGTGTATGGGTAGGGTATGCTTGGTGATCAAGCCTGCTTAGTTCTAATTTTTCAAGCAGACAAAGTAATAGTGTTTGGAAACAAAGATTAAAATATTAGATGCTTTGTCTGCAGACACAAATGCGTTTCTTTCATGCAGATTGTTGACTATGGTTTGTTCATCGTGGTCAGGAAATAGAGACTGTGTATGTTTTTTTTTAAATCAGGGAGGAGTGGGGCGTGGGCATTGAAGACTAACGCATTACTTTGACCGGACTACAAACTTGTTCATGGTCATAGTTGGGTTATTACTATTGTCTAAACTACTGTTGGAACAGAAGAGGAAGTGCTAAAACCCCTTAATGATATGAAATTTACAAAATTTGAGGAGCACTGGTTAATATCAAATACGTAACAAGTTAAGTGTGTACACTATGTACCATGTCACTGCTGTTAAGAGATAACTGTATCTATCAAGGTTACAGCAAACACCGGGGACTAATACATCCATCAGCACAGTCTACCACCTGGTATCTTACAAGATGAACGTAAGACACAGACAATATGATGACATCTATGCAATAAAATTATAAGACTCTTTCATGCCCAGGGGTGTAGGATAGGGATATTCCACCCGAGGGGTTTTCAAATTTGGTAAAACCCGAGGCTGAGGGTTTTGCCAAATTTGAAAATCCCGAGGGTGGAAATTCCCTATCCTACACCATTGGGCATGAAAGAGTATTTTTCTTTCATTCCAACCACCAGAATAAGCCCAGAAACCATAAAAAAAGTTGGACTGGCCACCATTTTGCAAATATCAATTTTCCCCTGAGCTTTTTAGACGAAAACGAATCAACCAACCAGACTAAGCATATCCCATATTTGTAGACAATGTTTGCACAGCAAAATTAATCACATCTTTCTAACGTGTACGATAAATATACCGTAAAAGGTTTTAATTTCATCACGTCGCCTTTTCCGCATTGCGGCATCGGATAGTTCATAATTCGTGACGTCACGTCATTGTTGAGCAATTGTGACGTCATGTCACGGAAATGGGATGTAAGATAGAAATTTTCCTACACCCCTTTCTTAACCTAGACAGCTCTAAATACAGAATGCCTATATATAATATAAATGACCTGAACACTTTATTTATCGACAATGTTACATTCCATGGTATCCATGTATATTTTTTTTTTATTGTTTTGTCACTTAAATCGTTTTCTTTAACACCATTTTAATGTGATGTTGTTGACATATATGGATAAGGAGAATAATTTATACAAACGCTCGACATATGGCCTTAAACGTATCTTTGTACTTTATCATTCAATTTGTGGAAGGTAAACTATTTGAGTGAACGAAATAAATCTTTAATCAGCATTGCTGATATGATACAGGACACATTTAGAATAATCAAGACATTCCTTTCATCAACAGACCTGCCGTCCAGATGACAGGGTTGTGTTATTGCTATTAACATACAAAGCATGATGACTAAGTTTTATCAAAGTTCGTCGGCTTAAGAACTTTCGACCTTCAGCAAATAAATATTTACTTTAACCGCCTAATTTTCTTCAGTAGAACGGTGATTAACCAAAGTTTGATTATCCAAACTTTCACTTATTTGAATCTCTGCTAAGTGAAATAAATAGCTTGATTTTATAATAAGAAACCGGTTGTCCGAATGACCGTCTGTAGTTCTGAATATATGCCGACACACCTTAACGTTAATCAGACTTAAAACAGAAGGATGCTATTGCTTCGGAAGAACGAGAACCTTCCTGCAAGAAGACGTTTGTTTCTTAAAAAGGTAGTCGAGTGGCTCCCCGATCCTGTCAGTCTTCCCATTTTTCGATGGATTTTCCCATTTTTCGATGGATTTTCCCATTTTATGATAAGAGAATAAAATTATATTTGTGAAAAAAGAATAATTCGTAAATCATTGTTTTTTTGCATACAATTTGTTACATGATAGTAACACAATAAGTCACAATGTGATCTGTAGAAATAATGTTCTCTTCCAGGAATCCATTTTTTATATGATAATGTCTAAACGAATGCTTAATTAATGCACATAATATATCAGAAATTATACGTGTACTAATTAAAGAAATTTAAAAACTACCGTGTGAAAAATCAATATTTTGAAAGTAGTTTCCCGAAACGATATTACTAAGAAAAAATCCGCATTATGTCTTTCCAAATGTGGATGCAAATTACAAAAAGTTACAAGTTCGATAAATTGAATCTCATAAAACATGATATCAGATTTGTAGCCAGGGTTTTCTAATAGAATAACTTCAATCTACGCGGTGGAATATTAACAGACATGACATTGATTCGATTTCCACCTATGCGATTTCAGTGTCTTGGGTAGCTGGTGACCGGATACCTTCCTGGATCATCACGAATGGTACAGGAAATCCTCTGCTCATATTTTCGCCGTCCATATATCTATAGGGAGTTATGATGTTTTTCCTTATGTTATCTCGAATATATTGTCAAATTATTTTATATATCAAAATCTATTTTGAGATTAAGATTGGTTTTTGTGTGTTTAACTTTGTGGAACAGTTTTATTGTTGACGCAGTGGCTGTCTTGTCGCTGTGTATTCACGCTGTGTATTCATGCTGTGGCACATTTTGTCTTTGTGTATTCACGCTGTGGCACATTTGTTCTTTGTGTATTCCCGCTGTGGCACATTTTGTCTTTGTGTATTCACGCTGTGATAACTTTTTCATTGTGTATTCACGCTATGGCACATTGTGTCTTTGTGTGTTGACGCTGTGATAATTTTGTCATTGTGTATTGACGATGTGATAATTTTGTCTTTGTGTGTTGACGCTGTGATAATTTTGTCATTGTATATTGAAGCTGTGGCACATTTTATCTTTGTGTGTTGACGCTGTGATAATTTTGTTATTGTGTATTCACGCTGTGGCACATTTTGTCTTTGTGTGTTGACGCTGTGATAATTTTGTCATTGTGTATTGACGCTGTGATAATTTTGTCATTGTGTGTTGACGCTGTGATAATTTTGTCATTGTGTGTTGACGTTGTGATAATTTTGTCATTGTGTATTGACGCTGTGGCATTTTCTGTCGTTAGGTGTCTTTTTTGACGCTGTGGTATTTCTTTTTGTTTTGTGTTGGCGCTGTGGTATTTCTTATCGTTTTGTGTTGTCGCTGTGGTATTTCTTATCGTTTTGTGTTGTCGCTGTGGTATTTCTTATCGTTTTGTGTTGTCGCAGCGGAATTTCCGTTTGTTTTGTGTTGTCGCTGTGGTATTTCTTATCGTTTTGTGTTGTCGCTGTGGTATTTCTTATCGTTTTGTGTTGTCGCTTTGGTATTTCTTTTCGTTTTGTGTTGTCGCTGTGGTATTTCGTATCGTTTTGTGTTGTCGCAGCGGTATTTCCTTTTGTTTTGTGTTGTCGCTATGGTATACTGTATAGTTGTGTTATACACTGGTACACTTATTTACATTTATGTTGATGCCATGATGTATTTGTCCTTGCGTGTTGACGCCGTGGTGTATCTTGTATCCTTACTACAGATTGTCAAATTGATTGAATCGCGAATCATACGTTTGTTATATTGCCCTAAAGTTCAGTTGTCGAGAATGTTATTTTTATGTTTTGATCAAAAGTAAAAAACGACCAATACATATGATAACAAAAATACCACCGCGTTAACAAACTAGGACAAAACATACCGCAGCATCAACACAAAAGACTAGAATATAAATCATCGTCACTAACAAGGCAAAAATATACTACAGCGTCAACACAAGACCAAGATATACCACAGCATTTCAACGAACAAGGACAAAAATATACCGTAGCGTCAAAACACACGACCAGGATATACCACCGAGCTAGAAATAATAATAATAATAATCCAGTTGACCTTGTGTTTTCTCTCCGACAAATAATTTGAATTTTCCGCCAACAAGCTTGGGGCCTCTCATTTCGTAATTTATATACAGCCAAAAACCGTAATAAATATGTTTGGTATCCAAAATACTGTTATTAATGATATACTGTATGAACATGGTTATAATTTGTTTCTGACACGTAGAAACATTCTGCATATGTTTTCTTCACACTTTAAATAGGATACTAATATTTTTAAGAGTGCGTACATTGACCCAAATAGTCCTATTTCACGCACCATTGTGTACCCAATATAGCTCACCTTTATATTAAGTTTGACATTTTAAAGAACACTAGTTTATTTACAAAAAAATCAGTTTCATAATCAGGGGAGGGGAGGGGAAATAGATTAATGGATTCAATTTGGCATGATATTTGCTTAAATAAACCCTTTTATCTACTCCAGGCGTGTTGATATTCTTAAAATTAACGACACGAAAAACAAAAAACAATGATACGAACACTTTTATTTAATTTCAAAACTCATTATAGCTCATATTGTATGCAATTTTTTTCATTTTGGGTTGTACACAGATATACAAATGTTACGAGTAAGTGGTTATGCTAGTTAAATCATATGAATTCTGCTATCTTAGTATCTTTGTGGTTGATATCCACAGCTTAACAATTACCTTTATTTGTAGATATAAACAAAATAGACATGTATTCAAGTTGCAAAATCATTGATCTTAAACTATGGACAATTCGACAAGTCGACCTAGCGTGACACATTGAATACAAACTGTTAACATGTATTGTGTGAGATTTAACATGTCGTATGGCTTGCTCTCTGTTATACCGAAAAAGTGCCATACACCTGGCAAACTATACGTCCCTCTTTATCAAGGGAAGTGGTGCGGAAAGGACTGAAGTATACACCTGAAACACTCGCTCGGCGGAGCTTTAGCTACCTGCGGTTCACTTCCCACCCACCACCAGCTCAAACCACCAGCTGACCGAGTACTCAACAGGTAGAAGTATCACGCACCGCTCTCCTATTCGGAACAGCATCGGACTTAAGTCATCCGTTAAGTGGACTAACAAACTGTATATTGATATAATATCAACATCAACATGATGAACACATAAGTGAACGTGGACCAAATACTGGCGATGCTGAGAGAGCAGTAACAACGGAGACAGTTTTCGCTGACCCTAGTGGTCAACACTCCTGACGTTGGTTGGATGGATACACCCGGACAATAGTGACCCGCTTTACGACCATGCCCAGCTTCACAATGTTATCAGAGGTAAATAAAACCAGCGGGGGTAATGGATGTCAAATCGTCTCTGATAGCACACACAATTAGATCCATTTACACATGTTTGCTGAACCCCAATTTGCTAAAGATAAAGGACATTTACCTCTTACCATTTCTGGTATCTCGTACAGAATGGGACATTATTGTAGATCTAGAGTAGGTATGCTTTTAGTCCATTTTCTCTCATCAACAGGTAAGTTGTTTCTCATCTCTCGTCTATCTTCAAAATGGAGAAAGCTAAATCATGATATAATTAAGAGTAATTGTGGGATATTTCAGGTACTTTTCTCATATTGTCAACTGGTATGATTTTATCACTTCATCCGAAGTTTTATTGCAATTTGCTGGAAGCGAAAATTCGGCTTACGAATACGAATAATATATGTAGTTTAACGTGCATAACATATGATATGACTTAACCGAAAAGTATGATCACGCAGGTTGGTTTCTAAGCAAAACCGATCCTTCCTTTTATTATTCTTTCATATATGCTGGAACACAAGTAAATGATAAGTGATTAACAGAACGCTGTGCGTATTTCGTATGACAGATCACTTCGAATGTTGGTGCTACTCAAGAGACATTGATTAAGTTTGGCACACTGAATTAATTACAAAATGTTTATGTGCAATCATGTGAGTGTATGAAGTTCACCTACCTTGTACATGCTGACCACTTGATCCTTTGAGGGGGGTAATATTTCCTTTAATTTTCTTTTGCTGTTCGTCCACTTTGTTAAATATGCTTTGCTGTTTAACTTGACTATGAGAGGTTCACACTTTCTGATAATGTACGTATATAATTATATGTGGAGTTTAAAAAAGAAAAAAAAATCACAAGAAATTTCTGTAAAGGGCAGATCAAGGCAATGCTGTTTTCGGTGAAAGAAGTTAAAATTTATCTACATGTTTGTAAAATAGGAAGGTCTGTCAATGAATGTATAGCTCCTTCATGAGAAATGGAATCAAACTGACAACGCGGCAGACGCTATAAGGAAATTAAAACATCACATGCATTTTGCATATTCCATACATTTTGAAACAAGGGGCAACTATTACCTTAATGCAAAATGTGTAAACTATTTATGTATTACTGGTTTGTAAACGATACACTTTGTTCTTGGACGCTTGGTCGCTCGTCTGTATTGTTGGTTGTTGTTGAAAGGGGTTGGGGTTGGCTAACGGTTTCTTATCGGTTCCTGTTCCCGTTGTTGTCTTCAAATTCTTTTGTTGTCATTGTTTGTTGACGCTATGGTATACTTTTTTTTCTATTTGTACACATTTACATTGTATTTAGACAATACGATACGATATCCCTAGAAAAATGTTTTAAGAGGACAGTCGCTTATGTGTATTGGAGTGTTGATTCACACGGAATTCTATTTACGGGAGATAATTTTTATGCATGGTAAAAACTTGTCAGTATAAAGGGTCAGTCTGATTTATTACAACTTTAGCTAAAATTCACATTGATTATACGATTACGTGTTGAAACGAAACTCTACTGGTGGTAAATTAAAAAAAAAAGCCCTACATACCTTTAAATCTTAACAACGGTTGCAATTACATAAACGGAAGTCTGTTAAATACAACAAAGCGAGAAAACAATACCGGTTTTTTCCTAGGTATGGATATTTAAAAACAAATGGGAATACAATATCTGCACTTGGACATGTAAGTCTGAAATCTTTAAAACTTTCAAAATAACAAAGATAACTGTATACTTTAAAAGTAAAGCGGTTCGGGTAATTGCGCATGGATATGCTTGCAGCAATGTCTAGATCAAACCTATTGGGCTGGAGAGAATTGGCCATGTGAACACTCTGAATATCATATGTATAAAATTGGCAGGTCAAGAAGGACTAAACAACACTTATCTACTAATAAACGATACACTAGACCATGTCAGGCTTAAGCATTGTTAATTTAGCCGATCATCAGAATAACATGTCTTTTGGTCTTATTATTATTATTATTATTATTATTATTATTATTAAAAAAGTAAATATGTTGGGAATCAAAATGACAAGCTATAGGAAAGTATTGGTAAATTTGGAAAAAATTCTCGAAAATAATCCATTCTAACATTCCTGTTTACGTGTGCTTTTGTTGATTTAAGCTGACTATGCTTTTTATGATAAAGACGGCCCCAAGCTCAACATGTCTTCAGTAAAAGTTTTGTACTTTAAAAACTTAACGTGCCGTAATATCGTTGTTAAAACTAATTAGGCGGAATTTGTAGCTAGTGCCTTGTATGGTTGGAAAGTTTCCAAACAGCCTGTTAACACATATCTATACAGTTAATTGTAACTGTCAATATTCCGAATACACTCAACATACCATATAAGCATACATGTGAGTATCCCTCTGGACATCGCGGTGTAATGATGCGATGCGATAGTTCGTATTACCTGTTCAGAGACTAACAAGAGACAACTGGGTAAAGGATACTTACTACTTTTACAAATAAAATACATTTTTGTTGAAACGTGTTGAAGAATTGATGTTACCGTATATTAATTAAACATTAAGTTAGGCATCCATAAATCAACCTACCAATCTATTTATAGTTGTCAATAGCGTACGCGTGTCATTTAGTTAAACTAAGACAATGCACAGCTACAGGCACAACTAGATCCAAAGGTCTGGTGCCAATTCCACGGAGACATACATTCCCTCCCACTTCAATTTTTGAACAAGTTGCTACAATTGAAATACGCGTACTTGTGGAGACCATGATAGACTGAAGTTCACTTTTGTCTACAGCATACAATAAAACTTCGATATAATGCCCCTCCTTTATATACAATAAAGCCTCGATATAATGCCCCTCCTTTATATACAATAAAACCTCGATATAATGCCCTTCCTTTATATACATTAAAACCTCGATATAATGCCCCTCCTTTATATACAATAAAACCTCGATATAATGCCCTTCCTTTATATACAGTAAAGCCTCGATTTCTCAGTAGTACTGTTATACCCAATATATTACCAAATCCCCTTATACCGTCACACACTCTCCGAACAAATAGTGTCAGTATAACGATACAATGTACACCTTCAATATTTACAGTTATGAGATAAGAACGCCTGTAAAGCTGCTGGCAAAGCATTCGAGAATTCAAATCTATTGTTTCCACACTCACAGTAACCTCCCATTTTGTTTTGTTTTACATAGTAGTAGAACTGGGCCAGGTAAATACCGCTTTTGGGGAAGTTCAATTGGTAAAGGCGATAGTATTGTTCCCGTCGGTCCAGGGTTCGAATCCCAGTTTGGCTACGTTGAAGTTTTAACTCTCATAACACGTTTGTTGATCTTTATGTCATACACGTTTCGCAAGGTAATGATTCATTGCAGAATTGATTTAAAAAACTATTTCCACGCTAATTACTAAATTTCCAATACAAAGTCACAGTTTTGGCGGATGTGTCCTCCACTTATAAGGTCAGTGTAACCACGTTTGCTGTAAAACAGCTGTGCACCGAGTAACAAACGATATGTCCATTTCGGAATGGCAACTTTTAACATCATTTGTGTCACTATCAAAATTACAATATCAATTTAAGATTAAAAGATAAAAACGGAGTTTCTGCCAGTCTAAGCCATTCCAAGCTGGCCAACTCCAACATGTGCACCACAGAAGCATGTAGATTCACGAAGAACATTATTAAAGTAGGATTATCTGTTGTATTATCACAACACATAAAAGAACAAAAGAACATCTCATTTTCATCAGATAGGATTTCATACAAAAACTATTTATTGATTAAAAAGATAACAATAGGGAAGGAACGTATTCACTGGTACGAGGTCTTTATCATGCCATATTATAATACAATGTACTTAACACGGGGAGGTTCTTCTACACGTAGCCTCTCTCTGTCTTGTTTAGTAGTCTATTGTTCCCCTGAAAGGGTAATTCTACCTCCACTTTGTTTATGTCATAGACAACCACCAGTACCACTTGAGCTGCTAGCAAGTGGAGGGATTTATTGGATTTTACCTCCAACTGACTGATCTCAAGTTTTTGTAAATTCCTATCATGCTGGTTGTATTTAAAACCACGGGGTAGCGCTCCGCTATTTAGTTTTAAAGAATAGGCGTTTGTTTTCAAACATTAAAGCATGTAATTATCGAATTATAAAATACAGCTTTAGAAACTAATGTTTATTTGGGAATGTAACTGTACGTAACATTTTTAATCTAAATTACTTACATACATATAAATGAAAGCCTCGTTTGAGAATTTCGTTGTTTTATTTATCTATTATCTTTATTACCTTAACAATGTATCGATATAATGAAATCATATAACACCAAAGGGACAACAGTTATGAACAGGAAGATGTAGAGGCATAAAAGGTGAAGGACAAATTCGAGATTGTATGGGGTAGAACAAATCACGTTTGGAAAACCACCCAAGAAAACCACTGGGTATGTAGGAGGCAGAACAGGTTTCATTGACAGACGACACCCAATACAACAACAGGGTGTTTAGGAACACTATTTTTATTATTAGTTTATCAATCTGGTAAGAGAAAATGGGAACACTGATAAAGATCAAAGGAAAATGTAAGGTTACATTAACCGCTGTTTCTATATACATTTACGTGTTTCCTTGTTACAGAACTAGTCTATTTCTGTAGATATTGAACCTGTGTATACATTATAAGTGCACAACCTAGTCTAGTTAAAAGCACACATTTAAGTAGCACATTAATTTCCCTTAGCCTACTGATTGTTTTCAAATCATTCTGAAAATTTTGATGGATGCTGTTATTAAGGAGATGAAAAACATATTCTGAATATCATTGTTTTGATAGTAAAAGTACAACGGGGCATTACCGGGATTCAATCTCTGGAGCTCTGATCACCACCATGGACACTCTTTATAACTGGGCTACCTGATCACCTGATCAGCGACAGCTCAATAACTCAGTTCTTCTACAACGCTATCCAGTACGAAATAAAACTGTTACTGT